GAATGTTCCCCCTTCTTTTACACCTCTTGACCTTTGACCCCTAGCTTCAACATCACAACTCGTTTTCGGATTATACCCCCACGTCCCAAATATCGTGACCGTACGTCGAGCGGTTAAGATTTGTGCCCAACTGTTGATGGACGGACGGACGGACAATCATGCGATTCTACAAGCTGCACCTGACTACGTCAGATGAGCTAAAAAAATGTTCTACTAAAAGACAATTTCCGTACTCAGAATGAAGGCTATAAGTGTACTCAAAACTACTGCGATCTACATTTTTAAAATTTTCTGTAGAAGGTACCCAAGACCCTCCACCTCTTTCTCACCCCCTCCTTGAAATACTGGATCCACCACTGCCACCCCCACCCCCTAGGAATTTGCTCAGCCTACGGCCCTGCAGTAGTCTCGAACACAGACAGACGCCGTCGTTTCGCCGTCCGGCGACGATACTTACGTGAACGACAGGGCGATGTTGTGAAGCCACGATGAAGAACCCGTGCAAAACTTCCTACAAGATGAACGATAAACAACGCGTTAGATTCACGATGATTTACATTACCACCGTGCGCGCACGCGTGCAGGCCAAGCTTTGTAGTTAGGGTTAGTGTTAGGGATAGGATTAGGACTAGGGTTAGGACTAGTATATAATATATGTTATTATATATTGTTAATATTAGTATATAACATAGGGTTAGTGTTAGCGTTATTGTTAGGGCTAGGGTTAGTATAGGAATAGGGTTACGGTAAGGACTAAGGTTAGGGTTAGTGTTAGATTTACCATTAGGGTTAGTGTTACAGTTAAGAGTTAGGCCTAAGGTTAGGCTTAGAGCTAAACCAATGTTAACACTAAGATTAACAAAAAAAATTATTTCCGATACCGATCTAATAGAAAAACCTTCATATTAGCCACCAATCTTAACACTAATTTCATTTCAAACAACATTCTACGAAAAAAACATCTACGAAAAAAATACCAAAATCTTAAAGCTAATATTTCGTCGTCCGATGGTAGCGCCCCCTGGCGCACGCACTCACGCTAAGTAACCCTCGTCGTCTCCGAACGTGATGTTCATCGGTATCGCTATGACGACGGTCGAGCGCAGCGGCACGTGAAACACCTGAAGGTCTTTGACTTCGCCGACAATCTTCGTGTCGTACATGGCAACCATGGTCGCGTTCGAGCCGCGCACCTTCACGTAGTTCTGGTTCGACAGGTTGTACGTGTTCTGCAGAGCGGAAAAAAACACGACGTACACAGGGCAGATTTTAGACATTTTCTGAGGACATGGTCTGACGGAGCGATTGAAAAGCTTTTTTGTTTCAGCGATGACCTAGCATTTTTATGGCTTTATTGAAAAGACCATGAAATGTACTTTCTGCTGACATGCGAAGAGCAAGTGTCGGGTAACCTTTTGACCTTCAAGCGGCACTTGTTTTACACGTTTCAGTTGTGAGAAAGACCTCTCTGTTGTGCAGTTGGTGACCATTAATGTTAAAAATATTCTTAAGGCAATTTCAACATTTGGAAAGGCATTCTCTAGTTTGTCTTCTGTAATTGTGTTGTAAAGTTCCATGTGAGTGAAAGATGTTTTCTTGGTTGTTTTAAACTTATGAAGAACATATGAATGGAACTGCTGAAGCTCTGTAGACAAAGTGTTGTTCATGTCATCTGGATAAGCATCAATGAGTGTCTGACAAGTCTTTGAGTACCTTTCACTTTCTGATAATTGGGAATTAGCACCTTGTTAGCACCCTTGTATTGTATTGTATTGTTGGGGGCCCCTTGTGGTACACCTGGGAAGTACAAAACTTTATTCGTTTTTTTTTCTTTTCACCCCTTTCCCAACTTTGTGGTGCCCCCTTTGGCCCTGGTGCCCTAAGCACGTGCTTAGTCTGCTTAATGGTTAATCCGGCACTGGAGATTTGATATAATCTTCGAACCAGCAAGCTTGAGTGAACGGAGACCGGGTGATGGAACTGTGTTACCCGTACCACGTGTGATAAAGGCGGCAAAACGTACTGTACGTGCATTGCTATAGTCCACACGATGGCAGCTTGAGAAGACGCTCAAGAAAGAATGCAGATGGACATGCATGAGTGCTGATAGTGCTACTGGCGAACAGCCACATTCAGTGCCACAGCAGAACGACCTACTGCAGATGCTAGCTGCAATTATCACCCAACAGGTACAGCAAACGCAGGCGACAGTCCAGCAGCAGAGCAACCTACCAGATCATGCTCGGGCTAAGAAGGTAAACTGGTCATTACTGAAAACACTATGTCCAGAAAAGCTAGATATGGACTCCTTCTCTAGCATTGACCTTAGGACTGGAGCTGGCAACGAGCCTTTCTTGCTTTCGCCATGGAAGCCGAACTCACATAGTTTGATTGGGAAACTCAGCAAATCGATCGCCATCGAGTCCGCCATGAAACATCTACATTCAACCGTGTAGATGCTCTTCGACTACAGCTCCCTGCAGCCAAGCGACAAGACATTAAAGAAATTGTGGCTATTACTTCAAGCCTAATCGAGACAACAAAATCTGTGTGGACATCTCGACACCAATTTCATCCCTTGCATCAAAAGCCTCACCAGTCGATTGCGAAATTCCATAGTGAAGTGGTGGAAAAGGTAAAAGAATGCAACTTTGATAAAGGGTTCTGTAATCAATGTGCACAAGCAGCCATTGACGACCACATTCTGTCTAAACTTGTGTTCTGCACCGAAAAGGAAGCTGCAAGACGAGAGATGCTGAGAGATCCTGACCTTTCTGTAGAAAAAGCACGAAAGATTCTGGAAGCAGACGAAAATATCACAGAGACAGAGGCCCAATTCACATATTCTGCTAGTTCTGGGGTGAACCGAATCCACAGAGAAATGGAAAGGAACCCAAATAAACCGAGGCGGTTCAGAAGCAGAAGAGCTGCACAGTCCAGAGACTACTCTCGGAATGATAGAGAGAATGAAACTGAGATGTGTAACCAGTGTGGTTACCTAAAACACCGAGACAGAGCCACTTGCCCAGCAAAAGGGGAGAAATGCAAATCATGTGGTAAATCGAACCATTTTGCAAAACTGTGCAGAAACTCTGGCAAGAAACCAGCATCATACCATGACAAGCCAAAGAAGACGTTAATGGGAAGCATCATTTGCTCCATTAGCTCTAATGTTGACTTAGTTAAAGTCACCATTCATGGACAAAATGGCTACAGCCAAGTGAAGGCTCTCATTGACACAGGATCGGATTGGTGTTGCATTGCAGAAAGCGAACTTGTGTCGGTGAAAGAAGACCCTCACAACCTATGTCCACCAACTGCAGACATGCAAGCTACGGTAAATGCTAGTGGAGTACGAATGAAGCCAAGTGGATATTTCCAACCGACATTGCCTTAGGGTGCAACGTTATCACCCGACGTATTGTTGTCTTCCCAGGACTTAGTGGCACAATCCTATCTAAGGATGCCCTAATCGAGCTAAACATAGTCAGGCTCAATCTAGACCCACCTACTGAGACAACTCGGAAACCTGACAATGTCCAGGTGCCTGAACAGGCTATGATATTGATATACAAGATTGGTTGAAGCTATTATTTTGGCATGTACCGTAAAACCAAAATAAACTCGATTTTTTTCTCATGGAATTGATGTCTTATCTCATAGTAAGTCTCAAGGTCTCCAGGGCTCTGGTAATAGGGGGGCATTCTAGGAGATCTATGTCCCATGGTCCGGTCCTCCTCGCAGGCACATTCGATCGTGCCATCTTCATGGTATCCCTATTTCTGCATTCATGAGTGCCCTGCATCGACCAACCCCTGTCCTGAGGCGATTTAGGCATAGCCGGGTAGGCCATGCCTCATTGGCTCCAGGTGGGAGGGACACCTATGACTATGACTATGAGTGACACTCGTGTATGCGTTTGCCCCTTACGAGATTTCATCCTTTGACTCCATTTTCTCTTTCAGCTGGCTGATCCACTGGCTGCAGAGATAAACAAGAATGTGGAAAAACTGCTAGAGAAGCTAGAACGTGGCCTGAGGGAGTTTCCAGACAAGCACGATTACTCGCTGTACACCGGAACCGCAGGTTAAATACAGGGGTAGAAATTAACTTTTGAACAAAGGAGTCCAACGGACTCCCTGCCCTCAAAAGGAGGGAGTCCGCGGAAAAATGAGGGCGTCCGCAGTCTGAAGTTCGAAACTAATTAGATATTAACAATAACGCATACATGTGCTTATTTTGAAGATTCATGCGGGTGGCACGTCTGCCATATTTTCTTTGGACATTTACTGAAACATTCCACAAGGCCGTGCTCTGGAACGAACTAGTTAGTATAGCAGAATTTTCAGGGAGTCACACGGACTCCTGCATATATGTCAAATTGGGGAGTCCGACATTAAAAATCAGGGAGTATTTGACTCCGGACTCCTGTTAATTTTGCACCCTAGATATGTGTCACGCTTTGCAAAGTCCGATACTATACCTCCATTTACCAAGAGAGCAACATGTTTAATGTTTATCGATGCGTAAAAAAATAATTATTTATTTAGGTGTAAATAATGAGTAATTATTGATAAATAGTTTCATCGTAGTCGTGTTGTTTGCAATTGCGCGTTTTATTGCAGGTGTCGCTCTACTGTATTATCACCTGTACAAGCGCAGGGGGGACTACCAGTATTTGCAGGAGGGCGTGAAGTGGATCGAGGACGGCCTTAAAAGACTGAAAGGTATTTGTTGTGGCGATGACTCCCACAATGAGGATTAACACGCTTCGTATGCAGTTAAACCTGTGTTATCGGTGTTGATAACTTAACCCTAACCCTAACCCCTGTAGAATGAATGCTTGTATACAGTCCACCTTGAAACATAGATCATTCAATATATGGGACACCCACTTTTCACACATAGATAATTCTACATAGGGAAAATCCCCACCCTAAATGTACGTGATTGTTGTGCAGGGACGGGGAAACGAAAGCTGTTCCTGTTTAGAGAAAACCCCACCTTTAACGTGGATAACTCAATGCAGGGTACACCCCAGCTTTAACTTGCTTAATTGTGGAAAAGAAATGGGTAGCAAGAAGTCGTTCCTGTGCAGGGGACACACCACTATGAACGTGTATGAACATGAACATGAACGTCTTCAAAAATTGACTACATCATGAATTTTCTATGGTGTATATTTTTTTAATGTTGTTGCCATTTTTTAACATTAAATGTATGTACTAACGGGACTAAGTTTATCGTCAAATTCTTACCTGATAAGATTGTTTCTCAACTAGGTAAAAATTCAAATAATATAGTAGTTTCGAACAATATAGTAAAATAGGAAGTATAATGCAGCAATTTAACCATAAAAAGTGAATAGAATTACTTCCATATTGTAAAAACGTGGACAGAATTTTTTTTACTTTTTCTATTTTTGGTGACCTAATAACTTTAAAGTGATTACGTCACCGAAAATAGTAAAACAACTTACAGTACTTTTTCACAAAATATAAGTAATTCTGTTAACTTTTTAAGGTTAAATTGCTGCATTATACTTTTTATTTTACTATATTGTTCGATGTGAACATACACTCGTGACCCATACATAGAAAATTCGTGATGTAGTCAATTTAACGTGTGTGATTGTTGTGCTGCAGGTACGGGACGGAGAAAGTCGTACCTGTGCGGTGACGCGGGATCGCTGGCTGTCGCCGCTGTTATCCACCATGCGACGAACGACCACGGGAAAACCGAAGACTGCATCCACAGGTATGCAACGTTAATTACTATGTAATTAGCTAATTAATATCAGTCTATTAGTGACAATGTATTACTATGTATGGCCATTAATGATTAATGACAAAGTAGATTGAAATTGTTGATTGATTGGAATTAGGGATGAAATGAAATGTGATTAATGATTAAAATTAAATTAGAAATTAAATGTAATTGGTTGTTATTTAATTGAGGGGGGAACGGGGGTGTATATTCCCACTTTCCCAGCAAAAAACACCCCATATCCCAGTTCCCAGTAAAATAAAATCCCAATTTCCAGTTCCCAGAAAATTATGTAGACTTGTTTCAGGAAATTCAGTAGTTTAGGTTTTCAAACACTACATAAATACTAATATTTACATACTATTATTTATCTGGGCATAATTAATAAAAAAAATAATAAAAAAGTAAATTAAATAAATATTAGCGAACTCGTTCCCGGCTGATAATTTGATGACGACGTCGCGAGATAAGTCGTCAGTGATTACCTACGATGCCACGTGGGGTGTGTCGT